TGCGATCGGATCCTTGCGGTTGAGGTCCAGGGGTGCACACTGCGATCCGGAGCTTGCCGGACAAGATTGGCGAAGCAGATTGGCGAAGAAGATTGGCGATGAAGATTGGCGATGAAGATTGGCGAGGAGGTTGGCGAGGAAGGAAGGAAGGAAGGAAGGAAGGAAGGAAGGAAGGAAGGAGGAAGAACAACTGTCATAAAATCTAACAACCCTCACCTGGCAGGTGGGGAACAAACACGCATAATCCTTGGTCTTTTTTTCCTCTTCCGACTCGGACCCCTGTTTTCTTCCAGCAGTTCGCATCGATGCGTGCCAAATCACGACGTTTTGAGAGGTCCGAGATTTGGTCCCATGAGGCCACCCAAGTGGAATTGAGAGAGGCCCTGGAACCCACACCCTTCTCCCACCGTCACTCTTGCCAGAAGGGGTTTACCCATAGGGAATCTACTATTCACCAGAAGGAGTTTACCCATAGGCCCATACAAAAACAATGTATCCCACTTCCCCCTGCCAGTCCAAGGACCAAGTTAAACCATGTTAAACCTAGTCCTTGACCTCATTGAGTACTGCTTTGGCATGACCAAATCCACTCAAGTGAGGTCCGCAAGGACCTGTAGCGTTCACATATTTCACTGCGTTTGGGAGACTTTGTGTCCTCGCCTCCGCGTTTCCGCGGGCGAAGGTCCCAGGATCGTTCGGTGTTCTCTGCGGACGATGCCATATGGTCGCAAATAACGCGGGCGAAGGGTGGTCCAACTGACCTCATTATTCCTGGAGTTGATTATGCAAGAACATGGGGAACATATATACTTCTGAATGTGGTAAAGGACCAGGTTTACTGGGTGCACAGTGACTCTGGTCATATTGCCTACGTTTGGTCTCAAAGAGTCAACGAGAGGTCTATCGACAGCATCTCAGTGACTCTGATCACTGAGGGATTTTCAGGACCAGGGCTACCTGCAGGGGTCGAAACCTGCCCTGTTCTCTCATGGAATCATTGCCCTGTGTGAGATTCTGAGTGGAGCTCCTTACTCGAGCAACTCTCTCGAAGAATCATCACCTCCTTCTCTCTCTCACGGCACCATCGACATTTTCCCGCCTCATCTCCAGGCTTCAATCGAAGCTTCAAAGCAATGTAGTTCCCGGCAGCGTGCACGCCCTACGGTTGTCGGATCGTGGGGCGCTACGCGGGGGCCACGTCAGAAAAGACCCACGGTGGTTCAAAAAAGAACGGAGGCAGGTACCAAGCAGGTGTGGGCAGGCAAACAAGAGCTCAAACGGTCAAACAAGGACATTGGAAAATGCAAGAAACCCGAACGTTTGGGATGTTTGAGTAGTTATATAAAGGTGGGACAATCAAATCGAGTGGAGCCTATTCCAAACAATTGTGGAGATTTGTGGAGGGGTTCATGGTGAGCGGTGACCTCTATTCCTTATTACATGTTCCCCGGCCCCGTTGCGAGCCGGATAATTTTTGACGACCGTCCGGATGGGACGACCAGAATTCAATCCAGGGAGCAACCGAGAACATGCAAGACCACACGTCGCATGTTTGGAAGTTGAAGTCTTTCTTTGGCATTGCAGGACCTTTGAGTTTAACACCCTTACTACAAGTAATCTATGCACAAACAATCCTCTTCAGGTTAATCTTTTTCATCTGTTTTCCACCAATTATACTAGGGGCTGATGACATAGGAATATGCTCAAATTATGACATAGGAGTGTCCCTCTGGGGGTAGTCCTAAGTCATCAGCCAGTAGCAAACTAGGTGAACGCACCAAACTGACGGATGACATAGGGTGTGTGGGCATTGTGCCAGCAAGTTTCCCTTAAAAAAACATGAAAGAAAGTACCTGCCCAAGGTGAATACATGACCAGGAACCAACAGCTGTTCTATGTCATCTACGACTTGCCACATGCTATTTGGCTGACACAGTCCTATGTCATATGTCGTCATATGCGGTTTAATGTCCAAAACCTCTTGAAATCCAGAAATTCTTTAAAAAAAATATGAGACAACATAATTGTTCATGCCAGGGCCCTTTTCGCACGTTTTGGCCTCATGGCATGTAGTACCTTTCCACATGACATAGGCTTCTGCTACTTCGACTATAGTTTCACAAGCCCTATGTCATTGGCCCCTAGTATAGATTGCAGTGGGGGAACCACTGCAATAAGGTATCCAAATATCCGCTGACTGGGTAATTGGGAAGTTTAAGCTCCCTTGCTAAAAGGTGGTTTATGAGGAGCCCCATGCAAATCATATAAAGGATATCGTATCTTTTGTGCCATCTACGGTTTTGCACAATCTTAGCAACCACTTTTAAGCTGGGATCCGACTGGTGGCTAAATGCGCCACCAGCGGAAGGGCATCAACCAATTCTGGGGCCTCTTGGCAAGACCAACTGCCAAATGAGACATCTTCATCTTGAAGGCTTCTCAAGTGTTGGGTCTCGATGCAAACTCCAGATCTGTGTTCCGTACGACCACGGCTCCATGAACTTTGTCGAGAGCTGTATTTCTGACCGCCTATAAAGGCTAAATGGGTAACAACTGCCCTGGGTCACCCTGATAATGTAGACTCTTGATGAATAAACCCTCTCCAATTGAACAACCTCTTTATAAATAGAGGGGTGACATAGATTGACATAGAGTCCACATATAAATAGGCTCCAGCAGTCACGTTCGACGGGGTGCTACCCATGAAGGTAGTCGGGGTGCCCCAGTCACATCCACGGTCGGATAAAACAAGCCATCTACCACCCCTGAGCTCGCTCTGTGACTGGCTGACCGAGCTCTGTTCTTCACTCCGTTTCACTCGGTCTCTCCCGGGGTCACCGTGCTCGGTGCACCGCTCGGTGCGTCGCCCACCTTGTCGGTGCGTCCGCAGCGCGAGAAGTTGCAACTCGTCCGGTCCTGGGAAGGAGTCGAGGGCCCGGAAGGGACCAGGGAGTCAGGGCGGAGGAACAGTGAGGGGATTCATGGCAAACATGGTTTCTAATATTGATATTGTATTGTGTTTGGATGTGTTTGGCTGATTGAAGAACGACACTTGGCTAAACTAGGTCAGGGCGCCATTTCGAATGTTTGGATTTTTCATCTTGAGGATGCTGACTACAATTCAACTAGGTAGAGGAAAGCAGGCCGGCTAAGATGCCCAAGTCTACAGCAATCCCACCACAACACCTGGACTAAGCCTAAGCTAGCATGGTCATCCTCTTCCATGCCATGCCATCTACTTCCATGCCATCCACTTGAACTCATCATGGAAGTGGATATCATGGCCCCGATTTCGGATGATTTTCCGAATGCCCAACAGGTGGTGCCATCCAGGAAATCTTCCGACCCTCAGAATCCGGGCCTCTTCACCAACAGATTTGCTTCATGCCCGGACCCCTGCGTTCCGGTGTCGAGAGTCCGAGCACCATGGAGGGCCCGCTCGGATTCCTAAAGGTCAGCCTTAGAAGTCCAAAGACTAGATTTTGACCGGCTGAAGTCAAGGAAGTTCCCCTTCAGGTCCCCGGCCCTCGTCAGACCATTCAGACTCTATAGTCTGACTGACTGACCTTTCAGATCGATCTCGATCTCCTCCCGTCCTGGATCAGCCGAGTCTTCATCAAGGCCTCGAAGAGCGCCGCCTCCACGGTGGGGCAGATCTTGGGGTCCTCGGAGACCACCGGTGCTGGGGTGGTTGAACCCCGTTCGGCGACGCAGAGGATGCAGGTTGGCATCAAAAACAGAAGGCACGAACTGTAATCAGAATGCTTCTTTTGATGGTATGTAGGAAAAAGGTTTGTCTAGACTATGGCGATGGTTCAGCAGCTGTCAAGACACCTCCACGTTTTTTCGGCTGTTTCTGTTTGAAACCGAAGCATCGCACCTGGGGGCTGGTTTGGTCGCTCCATAAGACAAAACACCATGCGCTGGCGCATGTGCCGGGGAGTCTATATCGAACCTTTCACAGGCCCTAAGTGGCCTCAAATCAGTGGACCTAAGTTTGACTTTGAAGAACCAGGTGGTTTCTGTCATGTTTCGGTCGGCGATACACCCCGCTGAAGTGGCGGGAAAGCATGTTTACTGTGCAAATCGAAGAAATGAATACTGAGATGCTGGTGGTTCATCTGCTGCTTGTAGTCCTCTCACCTCGTAACTATCCCTGTTGCTTCAAGATGTCACAAGTGACGCACGTCTCAAGCATGAGCAAACATGATTCCAACCCCAGAAAGCCCCAGAAATTTTGGGGGTTTGTCCAGCTCCCCAACGTGGCTCGGCATCGGCGCTCTGAGTCACCCGGAGACCACGTGGAGACCATGTGCTCTGTGGCCCGTCGAGGCTCTTGCCAGGCGTTGCCGTGGTAGTTGGTTCCCACGTAGGCCATCTTGAGCACCTGATGCACACGGAGATCTGGCTGGGGTCGTGATCAGATCCCCAAGAACACCCCAAGTACCTATCGTCGTCCGTGACTTCAAGGAACTACCTATTGCTTTCCTCAAACCGAGCAAGCATGACTGCTAGCTTAGACCACCACCACGTTCCACCACCCTTGATTAACTCTATGTTAATTTGAGGTGGGTACACCCACTCCACCTCATATGTAATTCACACAGTGCCAGACTGTTGAATTAATTTCTGCTTTACATTGGCTGTGTTTTTTGAGCAAGATCTTATGACATCAATGAATCATCATGGATCAATATATGGATCAATATTTTGCTCCCCCTACAGTGACCCCATACAGTGACCACGCCCTTCAATTAATTTCCTAAGGTAGTACCCATGAGCAAGCCCTTTTCAAGATGGTGTTCCTTTGCTGCCTTAGATCAGGTGGCTTCTCTCCTAGTCTTCAACGAGGCTGGTCTTCAAGGGCTCAGGCCCTGCTTGTCAAGATGTGGCTACTATTGCCAAACCCTGGGTGAAGAAAAGAGATCCTGAGAACCTTTCCCCAGAAAACGGGCTCACTTGCCCTTGCCTTGAGCCTCAAGTCACCACTCCAAGAGGCGGTCGAAAGTCGGTTTGTGCAACATGTAAGGTGACCAACACTGGCAGTTATAACTGGTGCTGAAGCAGTTTCTAATGGTTAACCTCTGGATTGTTTTCCTAACAAAACTGCATTGCAGCATTAAATTCACCTGTCGAGCCATTTCGTGAACCGGGTGCTTCTAACTTCTATAATGGGAAAGCATTTCAAACATGATTTGTCGGCTTAATCAAGTCTTCTCTGCCCCTAATCGATCCAAATCGCCTGGTCCTGACCTGCAAAAAAGGTCGTGTCACGTTGCGCATGGACTTCTGTTTGACCATGTTATGTCTTGACTCACTGCTGCCGGTCGGTGGACGACAAGGCCGGTCATCCCGTCGAGGAGCGAAATGTTGAAAGGTCGCTTTGGACCAATCGAAGTCCCGTTGCCCCTTCTTCCGCCTCTTGGCCTCAGACATCGTCCTTGGCCGAAACCAATGCGTGCATGCGTGTGACGTGCACGGGGCGTCGGAGCGGGAGAGGGTGAAGACATGCGACAAGAACCGATGCTGAAAACACGGGCACTGAGTTGGGCATGAACAACAACGGCCACCAATTGGCCCTCCCGAAAAAGAAGCGCGCGAACGGCGAGATTGGGTGTGGAAATCACAGGATTAGATGATTAGATAGATCACAGAAGGTGAATGAACCATCAAGTGCTCGGAAGGTGAGCACTGCTCACATTATGTTATTGTTAACGATTCGCAAGAAGCCACTAGGAACAAAGGGCATCGCTATTAGTAAGAAGGGCATTACTACTAGGACACTAGGAGCATTCTTGCTACTAGTAACAAGAAGTAGAAGTATTTTGAAAATTGGGCATCGCGACACCAAAGAGGTGGCGAAGAGCACCGGCCACACCGACTTCGCTGTCGGCGACTGTGGGATGTTTGGTGCAACTCTTGATCCGGGTGGAGGAACCGGAGGCAGTCTGGCGATCCCGTCCGCACCGTGCCCCATGGCATGTTCCGTTCCCCCGTTGCCCATTGCAGCGTCGGACTTCCTGCCCTCAACTGACACCCGGTTGAAGACTTCTCCCTCTCTCTCCCTCTCTCCCTCTCTCTCGGGGTCCGTAATGCGATGTTACAAACGATCGGTCGACCGATTCTGAGGCCCCAAAAGGCCCCAAAACTACCACACAGGCCCTATAGCACCAGGAAAAGCCAGCCACAGCCTCTCTCTCTCCCCCGCACCGAACCTCCCTCGGCTCCGAGGCGCTTGACCCGCTCCGGGGCCTCCGTCTCATCAGACACCGCGGCGGAATCGGCCCTCTCGTCGCCCATGGCCGGCGAGACGGTGAGACGGTCCTTCTGTGTGTTCCACCGTGGTGCGCCACTGTGTCCGGTTCGGCGGCGATGCAGCAAAAACATGCAAAATATCGGAACAGATCGAGTGTTACAGACTACAGTACAGTAATTACCCACTTTTGAGAGGACGATCATGGACCTCCTCTTTGAACTGAGTGGGGGGTTTTTGGGCCCCGGCGGCATCCCCTGGCCACTTCAGGTCCCAGGGTCCGGTCGAACGCCCCGCACCGGCCGAGGAGGAGGGAGTAAGCCTGCCTGGTCCAGTCGAGCCGAGTGGGTTCAAAGGTCAGGGTCGTTTAGACACACTCTTGAACTCGACTCATGGGACTGCCTTTCATGTCTGAGTCAAGTCGAGTTCGGCAGTCTCTGCGAGGTTTTCGTCGGCGTTCAGGTGTGGAGCGGAGTTGAAGGAAACGATGCCATCCAAAAACAGGTGCTGAAGCAGTGAAAAGGGTGCCCCTTTGGCCCTTTTGGTGTGACGGGTTTCCCAGTCCAAACAATGGCCTAGATTCACTAGTGGTGCTGGCTGGAACATGCAGAAGTCACAATTCAGGGCTGCCAAAGCACCAAAACCATGAAAGAAACAATCATCCATTGTTAATGTTTGTAATTATTACTATGTTGTCATGCTTTTAAAAAACTCAGAAAGTGCTCAGAAAACTTTAGCTACCCGAAACGTCATCAACAAATGTGCGTGTGACTCCGTGTGACGTCACATGACTGTGACACTCTTTCGGTTGTGCAGTTGGAGAGAAGCTCAAGCTGAAGCCCAGCTGTGAAGAATTCTGGAGCGTTTTTGGGCGCGGCGATGAGCGAGCGCAGGGCAGAGCCCTCTGGGACCGGGATAGCGAGTGCTGGGATCCCCCAAGTTAAACAAGCTGTGGCTGTGGGTAGGTCATGCAACATGATGGTGGACTGGTCCTCCAAGTTTTGACCCACCATGTAAGAACCTGAGTGTTCACACACCGCTTTAGCACTTTTTTCCCCCAAAGAAACCCATGCTTTTCCGCAAATCCCTGGTCTCAGGAGGAAGCACGGGGAATCTGTGACACTTCATCCTGGATTCAGAGCTCCTCAGCTTCACGGCCGTCTGATTTGACTCTGGGAGAACGACCGTGGTCTTTTCTCACGCAGCCACGCCTAGCGCCCGCAGACTGTCGTTGCTTCGGATCTCAGCGACTGTGCCGCCCCCTCAATCGTCGACCCAAACAGGGAGCTAAGTTAATGTTTAATTGTTACCCAGACGCTCCATGGGACTGCCATATAATGCCGATCAGGCCAGGGGTGGCTTTGGGGTCAATGTAGGCATATATGGCAGTCCCATGGAGTGTCTGGGTTACTTATTTGGCTGGTCTAATTCCTTATGTCCTGTCTTCCATTGATGTTTGGAGTCTGTTCTGTCACCTTTTGCCGAGTCTCCTCTGGAGTTCTCCACCTTCTCCAACTCCCACGTCCCCGGTCCCGTGCGGAGCGACCGCGAGTTTCGCGTGGCGGTCGACGCCCCCCAAACGTGGCTGAGAGGACCGATCTCGCGCTGGGACTTGGGCTTCACCTGGCGCGGCTCCACGGCCCGTGTGCGGTCCACGGCTGTGGCAGGTGTGCGGGACTTCAGCGCGGTGTCCATGTCCCGGTGCGTCCTCTCACCTGGTGATGTTCGATGTCAGATGGGCGGTAGGGAACTGAAGAGGATGTCAGATGGCCTGTACTTCCAATTCGCTGATGTTATCAACATCTGAACATCTTCATAAACATGCATGTTCAGATGTGACATTAAGACATTCTTCCTTCTTTGTGCCAAAAAGTGTTATTACAACAAAGTTCCTGACAGCTCCTGACCTTCCCAGCACTTGAACATGATCCGGAATAGGAGGAGCCATCCTCAACGGGATACAGAGGGTGGAACAATTGAAGATACCAACTGGACTTAGCATGTCATGCCTCATCGTGGAGTTCATGTTGCCCGCTGATTTCGGAGAACCAAGCAATGATCCTAGAGTGGCTACAAGGGCCAACCCCCAAAACCTGGCGCCAGAGTCAAAGTGCACCATATCTGCCCAACTCCTGCGGTTGGCTTTTCCATGGCTTCTTCGGGTGCGCTCTTTGCACGTGCTGGGCCCCTACTACAGTTCCAGGCGATGCCTGGTTTCTCCAGGCTGCTTTGGCACTGGTGCTTAGCTGGGTTCCCAGCTGTTTCTCCTTGCCACCGATGATCGTGATTCCCCGGTTCGACTTGGCGACAACGCAGCTGTGCAAGTAAAGTCACATGAACCCCCCACAAAGAACAAAGCTTCACAAATTCACAGCCCAGGGTCCATGAAGATTCCCACGTTACCCAACGACCGACCACGCCACTGGCCACGCTGCTGGCGAACCTGGATTGAGCCACTGTCATCGTGGCGTCTCATTAACAAAAGGCCCCTCAACTTGTGAGGACTTTGCTCACTTCCAGCGGGGCATGTCCTTTGCGCAGCGATTGAACATCCTCAGCTGAGCCAAAGAGAAGCTCGGTAGAAGCCGGTGGAGTTCGGTTTCCCATTGGCTCAGTTTACTGCTTTGATGTTAAGTAACTGAAGGCTGCTCACCTCCCTTGTCGTTCAGGGCCGATGGACTTGACTCAGCACTCATTATATAGGCTTGGGCATGTCCAATGACCAGGACGGTTTGCGTACAACATTAGCGCCTTTGGGCAACTGTTACTGCTAACGGGGCACACCCAGTAGTTAGGGACCTGTATAACTCGACCGGACCTTGACCCATGGCGGTACTAAGACCTTCGCGGCTCTGGATGTTGTGATAGACTAGGAGCTGCACCTTTTGTGTCATGGACCACCGGTCAAAACGCCGGGATCTCTGGGTTGGGCATATCCCATTAAAAGTGAATACGGTGGATTGTGCTGGCCATAGGTTGCAGGCCTTTCTCAAAACATCGCGGTCATCGATCATCCTCTACCGAGCGTTACTGGTCTCGGGTATTCTGCATCTTGCGCAAACAATGGTTTGTAGACCCCTTCTCAGTCCTGGAAAATGAAAGTTCTAGTGCGTGGGAAAAGCCATGCTGCCCAAAAGGATCGACACACCTAACAGGGTCGGTGACAAATCAGGGCAAGCACTGCTTGCCCAACTGGTTCAACACTCCAACTATCTCCAACTCACTTCGCACGGAAGCCGATTTTGGCCTTGGCAAGGCCATACATCTTTAAACATTTGGGTGGTGCATGTCCATTTTATGGAGGTCACCGTGAAAGAAACTCTTACAGTAAATCGATCTGGAGTTTAGGTCATCGCCTATGTTTTCTGGTGACATAACACGATGAACCGATTAGAAAGGACATATTTGGAGCAAATCTTGTATCATCTAATCATTCATCCATATCCACTTTTTTAGTATTGGTCGAACCTCTGGTAGGTATGCATGAGGTGGAAGAATTGGACGAAACTGGGGAGTGAGTGAAAAGCCCAGGGCGGACTTTCACCAACCCATAGTGTCAGTCCCTTCAAATCTGCCTCGAGTGGTTGTGGCAGCACACCTCACTTCTCCCGGGGCCGAGGCACCAGTTGGTCAAATCCCTAGAGGTCCTGACGGACAGCGGTGCGCGCGGCGCCATCTCGCGCCAAGTCGGCATTGCACCTTCAACTCACAACATATGATCATCTCCCTGAAGTGGGAAAACCTTCACACCCTCAAATCCATTTCGCCAAGGGTGTCTCGCATGGTTTCCAAAAGCAGTCATGTCTCAGTCGGGGGTCCGTCTCAGTCTCAGTCATGTCTCTTCCCATCGGCAAGGCTCGTGAAGGAATACCCGACTGCGGCCGAATCATCGTCCGAGACCCGGATGCGGCACAGATCCCCAGCGACGTCCTGGAGTTTCCACCTGATCTTGCCTTCATCGGACCTGCCAATCCTCCAATTTTTGGTGTGGCAGATCTACTGAAGATGGAAGTGGCTGAACCCTCGAAAGTCATTCACCCTTTTTCAGAATTCAATAAACATATGGACCTTCTCCACCGGAACGCAGGGGGAAAACGGACTCGAACCATCTCGAACCCGAAAAGAGGACCCGGATTTGGAGAGCACTGCACTTCATGAAGGTGATGTGCATTTGATTTGTGACATGACCCACTCTAATAAATGCCCCAACTTGCGACGAACATTGAACAGTGGATGGTCCGTGCATGAGAAATGCTGGCAATGAAGACCCTTGGTTCTTCAGACGACTGCAAGAATGAAGAGCAATTAGTAGGCAAAAACACACGAAACAGAAAAGAAAACTAATTAATTAAACAAACAAACAAACAAACAAAAACACACTTAACATAACATTAATATCATAACACATTAAAAAGCCAAAATAAAAGACATGTCAAAAACCATGGATGGATGTTCATGCACCGAGTCACCCCTATTCTTGGATCCTCTTCTTCCCCTGCCCCCTCTTTCGTCCCCGCCTGAAGGGACGCTTGGCCGCCGATCGGTTGGCCAAACGGTCGCAGAGCTCGCAGTAGGCGCGGTGGTGGGTCTCAATTTGACCTGCAAAAAGTCGGCTCGGTCGAAAACAGCGGAGCCCGGCGGCGTTCGGGTTGGGAAACAACGCCGTGCCTTGAAGAAAACGGATCATTGAAGTCTGTCTCTAACAGAAGATCGTATTGCTTTCCGAAAGGCAGAAACAACGGAGCCAGGCCCGGAACAGGACACCGTAGCGGTGAATATGCTTGGGGCGCCAAACCGTTCGAGTGGTTGACATTGAGTGGTTGTGGGTCTTGGCGTGCCAGGCGCACAGTGATTCTGTGGCGCCGTTGCGTCAGGAAGCGAAGTGGCTTCACCATGGAATCTTTGGATGCAGTTTGCCAAAGGTTGAAGAACCCAATAGACTCTCCTATAGGTGCCCCAGGTGACGGGTCCTATAAGGTCACTCACTTAACCTCTGTTGGTGGTTCATCTTGTTCAAGACACTGAAGACGAGGCTTACGAAACCTATGGTGCTAGCCTTGCGTCAGACTGGCGTGTGGTGCTTCTCAATGCTCCACTTTCGGAGTCGAAGGAACTCCCCGGCTTCAAAAGCGCAAAGCAAGCACCAAGCAACACCCAGGACCACCCACTTAGGGTGGCTATCAGGTGGAAAATGCATCTTCAGGGGGGATCTATAAACCACCCGGACCCGAACTGGATGGTGCTGGTTTAGCCAGGTTTTGGGTTCAACGACTGTTCATTGCTCCATCTCATGTTGGAGCAATCGCGACCCATGCAAGCCAAAGGTTTTCTCGCTTTCCTGCCTCAAACAAGTGGACAAAATACATCCTTCCCTCACTAAAAATAACACACTCAATTCACCCAAACCTCTTCGCTTTCGGGAGCCCATTCAACTAGGCAGTGACCCGCCTCTTCCACTTCTTGGAATTTCAAGGAGCCGGGATACATATTCCCAGGAGTTCAGGATACACATTCCCACTTCGGGACAATCTCCGACACGAAGACTGCACCCGATCCCTCAACTTTCCGCGGCACTCATGACACGAAACTTCTCGCGCCAGGTGTGGAAACCTTAGACCGAGGAAGGGGAGTGCAACAGCTTACCAAGCATGGAAACATCGGAAGAATAAAAGGTTGAACACGACACAGGATCAGCCTGAAGGCTTTTGATGCTTGGGTTGACCCATCTGAAGATGCCAAAATAAATAGGTTACTGTAAGAGATCTCAGAGCAGGAGCCAGGTGAGTTGCCAACTGACCAGCAAGTCTATACCCCTTTTATAGCCATACAGTATATTTGTAACCACCCCCAATGTAGGCATGTATGCCCCGTGGGCCCCCATATTAACATAATATAACAACAAACATATGCCAGTCCGAGTCCCATCAAGTGTCTGGGAAGAAAGTGGGTGAGCTGCACATCTCAGACTCCTTCCAACCCTGCACCAGGCGTTTCTGAAAACAACCGAAGCTCACAAAAAACTTGCGAAGCGGCAAGCAAATCCTCAGGCATCGCAACAGGATTAGCTGCGTATAAAGGAGCTGAGGAGCTCAACGTTAGGGAAAACACGTGTCATGTTGGAACAACATCTCAAACGATTTGTAGACACCTCCATGTCTCTGACGTTATGACCCTTCGCATGTCCTTCGGCATGTCCACCGGCTTGCTTCGACTGACTTTCGCTGCGTCGCGCGGAGGCCCGTGCACCTCGGCTCCTCCGCCTCTCACCGCTTCCGGACTGCCGGCCGAGCGGCGGTTGTAGCGCTGGTCGTCCCGGTCGATCTGCCGCAGCGTCGTCGCCAGCTGCGCCGCGTCGACGAAGTCGTCCACCTCGGGCGGCGCTCGTTGGTCGCTGACTCCGGGCGCGGCCTCTCTAGTTCGGGGATGGAAGACCGGAAGGAACAAAGGGGGGCATGGAGAAGCAAGTCTGAACAGTTTGGAGGAAAAAACAGGAAAAGGGCACCAGAAAAATTTGCTTTGCAAATTACTTTCCGCCGAGCATTCTGGGTCGATAGCAAAGTTTTGTGGTCACTACTAAAGGGATCTAAAGGGTCTGTACCACCTACTGCTCACCCTCTTCGTAGTAAAAATGTGTCCATCTCGGTGTGTGGGTAGTTTCTGTATTGTAGAGTTAGTCGATTGGCCATTCCTTTGCCCTTTCTTTCTTCTTGGCCTCGCGTGAACCCCAAAACAAGGATCACTAAGGATGTCAATTGGACATCTCCAACTAGAAAGCCTCCCCCGCAAAAACTGACTGGTGCTTAGTGAATAAGCGACGTTTCGCTCCCAATAGAGATTCCTTTGGATCCAGCCACCCTCCTTCCCTACTCAGAACAAGCCAGAAACAAAAGAAAGCGGACGTGTTTTGTCAAAAACCGACCCAGCAAAGCCATGGCGGTCGCTGGAGCCCCTGACCTCCGGTCGTTCGAGTGATGCGGCCCTTCTCAACCGCATGGCGCTTGAGCCCTTAAGGGATATGTCATCACGGTCGCGGAAGAATTGAAACCCATTCCCCTCCTCCTCACAAGATGATTCAGAATATGTTGGAATGCATTTGGCTTATATGAAAGAATAGTCAATGCATGTCCATGCATTCAAAAAAAATCCAAGGTTCTTCACCATGCTCAAAACCACTCAGACCGCCCAGCCGCGTGGAGGAAAGACTCTTTGGGCACCACTCCTGCCGTCGTCCGATCTGCGTCTCGACGAGGGGAGGACCGAAACCTGGCCATACACGGCAGGAAAGTATGAACACATCAGGAAGTGCCAACAATTCGGCTGTTCCAGATCGGAAAGTCGTCTTCCAAGGTGCCATCCACGGCATGTCCACTTTGGTCAGGCCGGTGTGAAGTTGTTAAACCATATGGAACACCTTTTTTCTCATGAATAGAATGGAAAGGAATGGATCAATCAGGTCACAAAACAGACCCTTATATGCACCCTCTAGCAGCTACGCACCTCGATCAGGACCTATCCCTCCGGTCCACTCGTCCAAGTGCCGATCCCTTCGTCCAATCCACAGTTTGGACCATCTTGGACATCTCCAAGTGCCGATCAGCTCGCGAAAGTCCAGGACCGTGGTTTTACATGGTCGGTCTTACTGGGTCCTACTGGACTTCTAGTGGCTTAAGGATGCTGTGAGCGTATTTGACCACGCAAAAGACACATCAACACAGTTGACCCTGAGATCGAAAAGGCTTAGACCCATGCAGAATCCTTGGAGTATCTTGGAGTATGCCAGGTGTCCTTCTCCTGCCCGTTTTTTCATCAAACACCTCCATTGGGCCACTAGGAGCAATTTCTTGAGGAAACTCAGTCAGTTACCATCACCAAAACGTTGGTTTATATAGTAGTGTCTCTCTCTCTCTCTCTCTTCTCTCTATAAATATAAAAACCTAGAAGCCCCTGGTCTATCCAAAAATATGATCTTTTCCTATCAAAACAGGGGTCACATGGGTTTTAGGTATATTCATGTATATGTATGTTTACATTCATGCTTGGCCCAAGGTGCACAGAGTTAAATCCCATACCGGGTGTCTCAGGTGTTGCCTTTCCAATAGATTGGTGCAGCATGACGAGTGGCAAGTCTTTAGCTGTTGTTTCCGAAGTTCAGGCCCATGTCCAAAGGTACTGTTGAAACTTTTTGGACCACCACCATTGTTCTTTGATGTGGTTGTCATCGTTTTCGTTTCTTTACATCTTTACATACCAAAAACCACCGTAAGTTGTGTTAAAAAGCTCGCTTGGCCACCTCCATTTATATATATACAGTCCTCAAAACTGACATATGGCCAGCCAAAGGAAATGCAGCTTGAAAAAACTGAAATCACTCACCATTTCAGTCTTCGATCCCAGTACAGGATGGCCATATCTGATCTTCTGGTCCAAAACCTTTCCCCCTGCCAATGCCCATCTCTCCTTCCAAAAGCAATCAAATCATATTGTCGCGTGCTTTGGACCTTTCAACGCAACCCGCCAAATCACCATGACTCTGACTCTGGACTCCTTTTCCCGTGGCACAATCGCGTGAAAACACGCTGCTCCACCCAAATACGCCGAACCCCCCCCTACAACGTCGAACACCTGTCCTTCATAGTCTTGTCGGCTGAGGCCGCCATAGGCCAAGGGTACCATGGTGGTTTGAAAGCCGCCTCGGTCCCAACATCACCGAGCACAAACACGTGCAGATCGAACCGGGTGTGACAGAAACCAAGCGGAAACAAGCCGGTTCTGTTCGGAGGCAGCTGTGTCCCCCTTCCTTGTGAAAAAACGGAACCTTGGCAAAAAAAATGATGAAAACACACGAAACATGTCAACTTAGGTGTGTTTTTGTGTAGGGGGGGCCGAACCAAAAGGTTTTGGTCTATTTCTCTTCTTTCAAAAGGTTGACTCTACTTTTCTGAATGGTGACATCCTCGAGCCCCTTCCTACACGGTTCAAAGATTCAATCTTGAAACTTGAGGCTTCCGTTGAGGAAACGACCATGGACCCTGACTAGGAGCAAATGGCTACTGAGAACAAGGGCATTACAAATAGGAGCAAGGACGCTACTAGTAGCTCCTGGCATTACTCCTGGCATTACTACTAGGGGCAGTATAATCCACACCCAATTGTTACTATATGTAACTATGTTACCCATATAATGTACTTCTTCAACCCCAGAGAGGCCCAAACGAAACTCTTCTGTTTTACATTGCTTCTCAGCCGGCTGGCAGTTCACAAAAAAAAACATGGGTTCCCAATTGCTCCGAAACCGCGTTTGACGTGTTTTCAGGCAAAGAACACAGCTGGCCGCCAGAACTCACGTGAATCATGCTAGACGAACTCATGTGGATCCAAATCTGGCCCCCGGCCTCGTGTACACGACAACGCATGGCTGCACGAAGTCGACAAAGATCGAACCACCCCGTGCGGTACCCAAGTTGCGGTAGAACTTCTCTGTGATGTAGCCCTGGCAGCGCGAGGTCCTGAAAAGGCCGAAAGAAATGCAGTCCCAATGTCTCCGCGAAATTAGATGCAACTTGTGACCCTCAGATAGTGGGAACACCAACTGATTGGGTCCAAAATCTTGCAGGTTTCCGGCCACCACCGCCACCAAGATGAATCGATTTCACAAAAAGTTCTGTTTGTGCGGCCCAACTGCCAAAAAGTGCTCTCATTCATCGCCCAACACGATATGTAATTTCTATATATATATATTTACGTTATTTAAAAAAAAATGCTTAAAACATACTCAAGAAACAATATTTATAGTGAGTATTAAGCAGCGTCAAACCCTTTTCCCTGGCAAATCACTCAGGCCGAAGTGGTTCACGGCACAGTGGCGGGTTGATTGAAACGGTGTTAGATGTATACCTGCATGAAAGATTGTATATATATATAGATCAAAAAAACAAATATATATATATATATGTAGCCTAATATATATATATATACACCGGGGCCAAAGTGGATGGCACGGCGCGAAACAGAAAAGGGCGAGTAGATGGCACCGACAGGGCCCTTCGGAGACACGCCCGGGTTAGGGGGAGCAGACCAATTTTAGGCGATGATGGCGCGCCTTTCTCTGGTCATTCACGCCTTATTTCAGTGGTTCCTGTGAGAACAGATGACGCAACTCTACATACCTTACCCTCTTATGTCCCTCTGTCTCCTTTCCCTCTCCTCTCATGTCCTTTGACCTTCTGTGTCTGATCCTTATCCTTTTGCTTCCTTTCCTGCACTTCTCCTTTACCTTTCCTCCCCTTTGCTTTCTTTCCTGTTGTTTCTTTCTCTTTCCTGTCGTCTCCCTTTATTTGTTTCCTTTTCTCGCCCTTGGTTTGTTGACCTTTCCTTTCCCTTCCCTTTCCCTGCACTTGCACTTCAATCTCCATTGACCTATTGTAAGAACGGTGCACACTAATAGATGGCGCAATCCTGGAGTGAAAGGTGATACAGTACTGTAATGGTTAATTGCGGCGCCAAGTTCAGCCTATGCCCAAAGAAACGTGTACAATATGCAAACATTGTGCCAACAATGTAGCGAAATTGAATATATACTGTGTAGTTCTGTGATGCGCTCATTAAAGGCATATTTGATTAGAACAAGCTTGAACTTGAACAAACCCCATTCCACAAGCTTGACCTTGAACGCTGCTCATGGGCAAAAATGGCAGAGCACACAATCAAGGGTTGGAGTACAGCATTTATGGCTCCAACGGGCTTGATGAGCCATCTATTTTATCATCAATTTTTGCAGAATAAGGCGTAGCACCCGAAAAAAAAATTGAACATGAAAAAAATTGCAGACTAATCTCCTTTGATGGCAATCAGGGTCACTATCTAGGTAGATGGCGCATTGTTATAGCTGTGCCACCAACAGATTTGGAACCCCCCTCAAAATGACACGCCTAGGTAGATGGCTCAATTAAGAATTTTACCCCGGAGTATATATATCATACGTGCCATGTGGAGTGGAGAGTGGAGAGTGGAGCGTGGAGAGTGGAGAGTGGAGTGGAGAGTGGGGAGGGAGGGAGGGAAGGAGGGAGGGAGGGAGGGAGTGAGTGTGTGAGTGTGAGTGCGACTGTGAGTGCAACTGTGAGTGCGAGTGTGAGAGTGTGAGAGAGTGAGTGAGAGAGAGAGAGAGTGAAGAAGTGAAGTGAAGTGAAGTGAAGTGAAGTGAGTGGGCGGGTGAGTGAGTGCCATGGGTGTGTGAGTGTCACTGCGAGTGTGAGTGAGAGTGAGAGTGAGATTAATTAAGAGTGAGAGTGAGAGTGACAAAGTGCTCCGCTGCGACAAAATCTGCACTTTCAGGTTCACAAAATCTGCACTTCGAGGTTGAAAAGTGCTGTCCCTGCCACGAAAACTGCCCTTCGAGGTGCACGAAGTGCTGTGCCTGCCACGAAATCAGCACTTCGAGGTTCAAAATGCTGCGCCCGCCACTCTGCACTTTGAGGTTCACAAAGTGCTGTGCCGGCCACGAAATCTGCACTTTGAGGTTCACAAAGTGCTGCGCCTGCCACGAAATCTGCTCTTCGAGGTTCACAAAGTGCTGCGCCTGCCATGAACTCTGCACTTTGAGGTTCACAAAGTGCGGCGCCTGCCACGAAACCTGCAAACGAGCCAAATGTAGAAAAGTCACGACTCATTGCGCTCACTGCGCCTGTCCTTAAATCAGAGCGCCTCGAAGACCACCACCATGTCCAAAGCGCTGCACCTGCCACGAAATCTGCACTTCGAAGTAAAGCCGCTCCGCTCCGATCCCTTGCACCTGTCACGTAAAGCCGACGTTGGACCACCAAGCCATGTTTCCCTTGCGCCTGCCACGAAAAGTGACCACCAGGTCGGAAAATGCGCACAGCACCACAACGAGAACGCAGTCGCCGCAAGCACCCGCCACGGCCAAGCAGACTTTGCGAGCCTGCGCACTGCGCAGTCGAAATGTACTTCGAGGATTTCGAGAGGTATATTTTATGAATGAATGTACTGCAGCAAATAGCAGCGAATTAGCCGGACGCCCCGGTGCTTAACCCCCACACTGTTTGGGGAACAGAATCGCCTTTCGCGAGCCCAAAGTCATGGCATGTGGGAGGATCCCGCCCCGAGGCTAAAGCTAATTGAACTCAGGTAGCTGAAGCTTTTTCAAAAAATATTGCAATAGATGTACATGTATATATATATATACATATACATATATAATACATGTCTGTGCGTGACCTTTCTGAAGCAGGAACAACTCTCCCAACTCCAACTTCAACGCCCTTCTGCTGTCATGAGAAAGAGCTGCTTTCAGAAGGTCGGACCTTGGAGAAAAGGTTTGGACTAGGTTACCATAGGTCACCATCGTTTTCGTTGGACTTGTGCGGAGTCTATAAACCTTGCCAAGCATCTCAAAAGCAGCATAGAACTTGTACTGATCGAAGAACTTTCTTTCGCCTTGGTCGTTTTCCCGACGGCTCAAGGGCATGAAGCAACTGAAACAACTACAACCCAAGTTCACATGGGGTATTGAAAAAAAAACGTGTCTTTTGCAATACCTCGAAATCATGTTAGCGTCTTTTCCCTGATCGTTTTCTCAAGTGTTGGGCTCTTTGCACACAGATGTCACAAGAACTGTCAAATTAGCAGGTTTCCATGCATGGTCTTTGGTGGTAAAGACATGGCAGAGGCAAAGATCAAACATAAACAGCTAAACAAGACTACCGCGCCGCACACTTCTGCCCTTGAAAAGGTCTAATGAAAACAGTCAAATGGGTACTTGCCCACCAGGGCTGTTTTTTGCTATATTTCCTTATCGTGTTCGTTGTCGTTTTGTTATCGTTCCGGACATCTCTGCAGGTTGCCATTTTCGTGGTTAATGTACTGGCAGTGCAGTTACTGAATGGAAAGTGAGGTTTGAAAGCTAGGTTTCACCTCTTCCTTCAGCAGGGGGGAGTGTGGGAGGACGATAGTCAACTCTGCCATTAACATTACCTATCTGTTGTTAATGGGACAGGTTGAAACCCATGAGATGTGCCGGTATAATCATTGTTATCCTTTTTTAACCTTACGTCTTGTTTTCTGGGGCAGGAATGCTGTTAAGGTGCATGCCAATACTAAACTGCTGAGCGCAGGGTTACAGTGTTTCAATCTCTCACATGATTCCGGAACCAATTTGTTTTTAACACGTTTAGAGTGACAACCAAAGAATTCCATCGCCTGCCCATGCACCTGCCTGACATGTAGACAACCCAATCCGAACACCACCGGACGGCGACCGTGCCACCGGCGTCTTCCACACGCCGGTTCGCCGGTTACCACGCCAAGCGAGTACAAAACCGGAGTGGCGCCAAGTACGCCAGATGAAGTATGAAGTACTTGAAGATGTTGCGGTCTAACCATGAAGCTCCAATTGTGAAGCTCCAAGTCTGAAACTCCAATTGTGCAAGTCTGCCCCCGAGACGAGGTTAACTACCCTGGCCTGATCGGCAGTCCGATGCGCCTGTCTGTTGGTCGTGTCTGGAAAAGTGGGCTTGAACTTGCTTCAACAACCCTTCCACGGCCACCAACAAAAGAACAACTACCCGAAGGATCATTGGACCCTCCCAAGGAGGGGTTTGGACCCTGGAATCTGGACTTTTAAGGTGCTCTTGGAGTATTATAGACTCATCGGTGCTCTTGTATCCATCCTTATGGACTTTCTCGGCGCCCAGAGAGTCGAAGGCCGAAGGCCTCGTCTCCACGACACCGGTTCGGGCGAGGACTGGTGGTTTCCAGCCCCAAACACTCCATGGGACTGGTGTGTACATGTCTACATTGGCCCCCAGTCAACCACCCCTGGCCGTTTCTAGGCAGTCCGACATGGCAGTCCCAGTAGTCGTGTGTGGGACATGGAGCGCGCGAATTGCGCCGCGGGTGGCCCGGAAATGCCCACTGTTCTTCCCCCCAGGCCACCCGTTTTCAGCAAAGACTCGGTGTCGACCATCCGAACTCAGGTCCAAACGATGGTGAAGACCTCATTGAAAATGGTATTGTGGTAGGGTCCAAAACATAGACCAGCCACGCCAAGTAGCGTCCGACCCAAACAAAACCTGGTCCTTGACTTCATTGAGATAGTGTTTTGCTGCATGTGTTTTCACAATCAACTCCCAGCGCAATGAGGTGAGTTCCTGATCTGTGGGGCATGTGATCGCATCGGGTCTCGAACCAAACCTGCGACCTTCGCCCACCACGAGGTGGTTTTGGTCGCGTCCCAGTCGCACACTGCATCACGCCGTTTGCCTCGGCGTCCGCCGATGTTTTGAGGAGGGTCGCTGGGGGTACTCCTCGGGTCGGATAAGGCAAGCCATTAAAAAGGGGAGCAATAATAACAAAACAACACCAAAAGTATATATAGTAATTAAGTGCAAAAACATGCAACAAAAACGAAAGAACTTCTTTTGGGTTTGGTGGGTTGGCTTAGGGTTTCGCTTCCTTGTCCCCTGGCAGACGCCGCAGAGTAAACCACCAAATGGCAAGCAACCGAACTGAAGACCCTTCCCTGTGGGCCTATGGGGGAGTTTAGGATCCATATTCTACATTAGGTGGCTGGCTCAAGGTGTTCCAAATGCTTCAACTGGGCTCCAGGCTGAAGTGCTCCCTACTGGAATATTGGCTCAGTCACATGTCGGGCACCACGCTCGCCAGGGCGAAGGTGGATTGATTCATCAACCACTGATCTCTAGCGATCCACCGACCTTCTCAGAAGGTACGACTGGACCCTCCATGCCGACCTTCTCAGTGTGTCTCCATTCACCTTCTCGGATCCACATGTGGATCCGGGGATGAAGCAACGACGTAGAAACATCGTTCATCCACCAATTCAATACACCTCTCAACGGTCGATTTCAAAACACGTTCACGCCGGATGTCTCTATTCCCTGTGTTCACAATGATCGTTCATCCGACGGCGGTTCGTTTCCATGAAGTTCCACCAAGGCACAGGGGATGGCCTTGCCACAGCGGCCGTATTTATGCACCTCATGACTGTTCACCAGTGGATATAGTGGAAAAGCCAGGCGGTCAAAGACACACATTGGAGTGACTGGGTGCTCCACTGTGTTAGCAGGCTCGGGGCAGCCCCTGGGCTCATCTGCTCAAAGATATTCCATCACGCTCCCCGTGCAAAACGCAAACCCACTTGTCTGCCTTGGAAACGGCCTTGTCTGCCTTGGAAACGGCCTCCGAAAAGGTTCCCATGAATCCCTATTCACCCTTGTATAGTTAGAGTTAGAGTTAGAGATCTATAAAAACGTAGAAACTCAAGAATACATCCTCTTATCGTCCTCTCGTGGCCCTGCCCCACTGTACCAGGGTTCTGCTGCAACTCAGTCTCCTTATAGGGGCCACCCCCCCAAAAAAAAACATACATTGGAAAAAGCACGAAAAAGCAAATGCCCTCGTTCCACAATTGGAATAGAAGTGGTTTCTATATATCTGTTTCGACGTCTATCACAGTTCTTACGGCCTGCAGCGAAACCATCTGCAACCGTTGTTTCCGAACAACATTCCTGTCCGGGGTGCTCCCTCGCCCTCCCGTCGACGAAATTCGTCCACCAAGCATTGGGTGCTTTCGATGAGGTACCGAACAACAATTATTGGCTGGATGACTCCTGGAAATAACTTAATAATGAGCTAGTAATTACAAGTGCCTCGCTAGTAGTAACAAGTGCCTTACTAGTAGTAACAAGAAGCTATTAATTACAATTCTAATTAACTTAACATGATTGAAGGGTTTTCTTGGCAGTGGGGAAACCAATCCTATACAAACTGTCAAACTGTTTAAAGGCTATCCTCTGACTGGGTAGGAAGACTCTGGGGAATTGAACATCATGCAAGGACTTGACTTTTCAAGCTCCAGACTTGACTGAGTCGGCCTCCTGTCTTGAACCTCGCCACCCCTCAAAAACCTCACTCACAAAACGTAACAGGTCGACGTGAGTTGTCAGGATCCAAGGGGCTGCGTCGGCACCCAGCTGCTCTTGGATCTTCTTGAAGACCATCCGGCGTCCACCACCTCCACCGCAATTGCCTGCGTTTCGGAGCATTTCACAAGAACTGGTAGATGCTGCCACTGAAATGAAGACAATGAAGACACCGAAAGTTTGAGGATGTGATTCGCGGTTTTTGGATATATCCCAGACACTATCCCAAACACTCCATGTATGCCATATATGCCGATATAATATCATATACCATACATGGAGAGTCTGGGTAAATATGGCCGTAGGTCATCCGTGCGATAAAACCGGGAGACCCTGGTTGACCACCGAAGATCAACAGAATAGACGACCAATATGGGCAACTTAAGGGGCCCGGGCCTTGACTGCAATTCCAATCAAAACCACTCAGCTGTTCCAACACCGAAAACCCAACCAATCCGGCTGTTGGAATGCAAGAATTCACGGCTGAAACTCGCATCTGGGCAAGTACTGGCTACACCTGGAACCCCCAAACAAGTGTTCTTCTCCCAAACCTATAGCGAAGCAGAGCGGACCTTCCGGAATCTCCAACTGCCGGACGGCCTCATTCCATCTTTGCTTGCACACCAGCTGCCGCGAAATCCCAATGCAACTCTCGCTCAGCCAAATCTTTTGACTGGTTACCGGGGGACATGCCTCAAATCCCGACACGTCCCAATGGGATCTGTGTTTTGGATAAGTCCAGGCCACTCACCAGCCACAACAGAAGGTACCTGGGCCGTTTCTTGGCAAACAGCGGACGCAACTGCATGCACTTACATGAAACACCTCCCAAAAATGATGAATCATAGGCGGGTGGGTCGGGGTGAAGTTGGGTCCCTTCTGCTTGTCGAACCCGTTGGAGTGCATTTACAAAGACCTACAAAAAGCATCGTTGTTTGGAACTTTTTATTGAGGCCACCAATGTCCGAACTTTGTCCATTTCTTAGCGCAAACCCCGCCCTTAATTGATCAGGAGTGGCGCGAAAGCCCATGGCATGGCCCATGGCTTCTTTTGGAAGACTCTTTCGCCTCTACAACCGATAAGAATAGGTACCAGGGCCCGGAAAATGGGTGTCCAACAATCGCTCCTTAGAGGATAATGGGTGTTTATTAACTCTATTAACCACCCCAAAGAGAGGTGGCTCTGGTGGTTCTTCACTTCCGAGTCCATCGGGGCCGATGCAACTGTCACAATCAAGCCTTGTGCTCGTAGACCCTCCTCACTCCATAACTAGGGGTTGGAACCTCATATCTTGTGGTCTGGGGTCTCAAAATCTTAGGTTTTTGGAGCATCTGGGTATTTCAATACATTCAACTGCCACAGAACCGAGCGGATGAGTCGAACATGTCGAGCTTCGATCAAGCCGTGCTCTGCAAAACATACGCACCGCATCGACTGATGATCGCAGCCCAGTCGACTTCTTCCCCGTGGCGTAGTTCTTGGCATTCGTGGCACAACCCCCCGGGCAGGGCTGCAGTCCATAATAGGGCCGGACGATCTCCTCAGTGGCGTTCGGCCACTGCCACCGGACATCAAACGAACATCACACTAATCCGACAAAAACAAGTGAAAGGAGTCACAAGAAGGGGTGGTGTGGCTCGTCCCATCCAGTGAGTGGATGTGACAGGGGCACCCCGACTACCTCCATGGAAAGCACCCCGTCGAACGTGACTGCTGGTGGTGGGTTTGTGGAGTTTGCAGGATCCGGTGGCAGTTCTTGAGAATGTTTGGGAATGGCCCTCACGGCCCTCGGGCCCCAAAAGCAATGGGGGGCCCATGAGGCCAAGTGACGTCACTTCGTCCGAAATCTCTCTTGAAGGTCCTGGTAGGAGAACAGTATAGTTGTATAGGTACCGAAGGTATACCGATAGTACCGTATACCTGCTTTTGGTTTAAAGGATTGGGTTATATTGGGTTTTGATCAGGTGTTTGGGGGTCTGAAGGATTCCGACCAATTCCCTGAGACGGTCCTGTCGACCATTCCGGTCCAGTCTGGACCTTCGGACGCTTCAATCAGCGACCAGGACCGACACCGAGCTTAAGGTGTCGACTATAGAGCTTAAGGAGTGTCCCCAAAAACCACCAAACTTGGAAGGTCCTGGTATATATGTTTTGTTCGAAAAAAACAACGTTTTGAATATAACATATCAATATCATTCCATATCCAAGACCTTGAACGTGACCGAACTTGAGATCTCAGAATGAGGTCACTTGGTCACTTTAGTCCCTGCATGGTCACTTGGAGACTCCAAAGAGGTCACTTGGAAGGTCCTGGCTACGCCCAACTTTCATTCACTTTCCATGTGTTTGCCCCTCAACTCGGGCCCAAACATGACCTCCTGTTCGATCGAAAAAGACCATGTATGTTGGGTGGTGGGTGGTCTAAACTAGAGATCGCTCAGGGTCTACCCTTCTGAGATCTGTGGTCGCCACATGCTACAGTATCTACACTCCCAGGTGAGAATAAACACACCAGCTGTGGAAAAATGCTTCGTGTTCCAAATCACGATACGCGTCGGACTGCTCTCTGCCTGGCGTCCGAGGTGGTTTGGAAGGTCATGGTCAGATCAATCCGAGCGCCGAGCTGTTCTGTGGCACCTGAGTCCATGAAACCACCACGCAGGTCGGCTCGGAGCACAGATCGGGTCGCGTGGCGAAGAAGGCGCAGATCGATCGGGGCACTTCACGGGTGTCGTCCAGGAGTCGGGGCGCTGAAACACTCGGAGAAATGGAGGTGACGGAATTTGGACATCTGAAAGTCCTCAGTCTTGCTGGAAAATAAGGGCTTAAACCAACGAGACTGAGGGAGTCAGAGTGTTCCAAATTCGTTAAAAGAGGTGGAAGAACGAAAAGAAAACAAGCGATGATTTTCGCCTGTTGTGGTGCAGTAGAATCCCAACCACTCCAGAGAAAGCTTGGATTGCAGGTCACCCAATTTTCCTCAGAAAAGGGACGGAAACACGATCGAAAAAACAACGGCCTGTTTCATTCTTGATACAGTGACGTATCAGCCCAAAAAAAGAAGTTGGCCAGACTTGGGCTGGTAATACACCTCAGGTGCTAAAGTCCCCAAAGTCCTTGGCTAGCTGGCTTAGTCTACGTCTCCAGTCTTGACCTCCCTTTTCCACCAAAACGTGCTGCGTCCATGCTGCGCTGCGCAAAACGGTGGCTGGCGGGAGATTCGAAGAAGAAGCTGTAGACCTCACAGGTGAGGTCAACACTGAAGGCTTGAGACGACCTTAAAGGTTTCTTCATCAAATCCCGACGTTGACCGGCAAACAGAACCTTCAATAAGAAGGTCCGACGTTGCTTTTTTGGCGTCAGAACAAACACTGGCATACAGTTAAAATCTATACTGTGTATCAATATGTGTACCTGGACCCTCCAAGAAGTGTCCAATGGACTACCCCACACTACCTATAGGCTTCCAGACAGGGCACCCCTTGGAGGGTCCTGGTATATATATATATATAGTTATATAATATATATATAAATATATATAAATATATTAAGACATATACATATTGTTCAACAACACCAGGCACACCACTCATCGGCCCCTTGACCGCCGGCAAACGCATAGAAACGATAACAGAAGCAAGGGACAGAAACAAGGGACACAAGCCACTCAGCTCAGTATCTGTTGCAGATTGACTCGCACTCCGCCTTTTCAAAAGAACCAGCACATGTGCTCTGGAAGATGTGGTGCCTCCGCCAGTTCTATGTATATCCAAATGATCAACAGCTGGTGCCACCCACTCGCCAAGATGAAGGACCGCTTTTTCTCGATGACAACTCAAGATCGGACCTTCTAGCGTCATCCTTTGAACCACAAGAGGTTGACTCGCCTTTCGCCCAGCCAGATCGCGTCCGTCCCCGGGTTTCCAAACCCCCTCCACCCATTCCGGGTCTGTTCCGTTCCCACGGCAGACGCGCGCTTCGGGGTTACCGACCCCCAACCGGGATCCCGAGGTTCGCGGGTCCAAGGCGCCCAAAGCTGCCCATCCTCGCTGGTAACGACGCGCGCCAAACGGCGCCAGGGTCCGCCGGCGGACTCGCCGGAACCGTCGCGTCGACGCTTCGAAACGGCTGGGCGACAGGGTTTCTTCACCCCCCGCATAGCGCACTGACGACCTGCCTGCACATGGAACCCCCCTGGCTGCTTTTGAGGGTGTCTTACGCATCTTGGCAATAACTAGTAGTAGCGAGACCGCCCGAAAAGACATGAAACACTGAAGTCACTAAAACATTCAACATGCACACAGAATCTGCCCAAACACAATCCGAGAAAACACAAAAAACACACAACACGAGTTCTGCTTTTGTCCCCTGCACCCCCAGATGCATGGCATCAAACATGGGCATCCAAATCCCCCAAAATGTTCTCATCAAGTTCTGCTTCGACATTGCCATACCTCTCATAGACTCAGCCGGCTGAAGCCGAGGGGCTGGCTTCCGCAGGGGTGCGCTGTGCATGGGCGACATCCTAAGCGGCGCGGAGGAAAGGGGGTTTCTCCAGAAACACCGATGCCTGGTCACAGCAAAGCTGATATCCATGAATGGTTTGGTAGCAAGCCCCACCACCGACTCCCTTGGTTTCTTTTTGGAAATTCAAATTTGACCGCAAACTAACATATCTAACATAGAACCCAAGAATTGACCGGTGTTTTCGACCATTTTCCGAAGACCAACCCGGCGTGGTTTTGGGCTTCCCTGTGGCCCTCTGCAAGGGAGGAGCTGCCCCACCGACTCCTTCGGCTCCTTTTTTGAAATTCAACTTTGACCTTTTTTCCACCAGTGGTGTGTCCCCAACCCCAAGAAAGGTTTGCAGGTTATCCACTTGTCCCTTGTAGGATAGGCCCTGATTACACTGGTGATTCATAACACCCAGCGCTATAGAGATCTGGGACCATCGAGGATTAGGGACTTGTCTAATTAATTGGTGTCAACATTACAATCCAATTGGGCAGGAAAGGGTGCTGGATGGTGACCATGTGATCCTGACCGGTAGGATTTTTGGAGGGGAAGCATCTCCAAAATCATCTCAAGTTCGCCATGTTCGCCCATCTGACTTCAGCCATTTTCAGCCTACCAGCTTGCAAAGACTGCAGTCGGAGCCTTCTGACCCAGAGCAAACGACCAAATTCCCATCCTTCTGACTTCTGACCGAAAACCTTTCAGCGACGTTGGAGCACCCAAGAGGCCACAGTGGGTTGAAGACCGCCGCTGTGGCATTTGAGAACTCCTTGAGCTGGTTCGTCAAAACGCACTGGCCTTGGAGGGGAGCATGTCCGAACAGTGACATGCCTGTTCGACCGCTCAGCATCATTCGCTCCATTTGGCAGTGACAGGGGGGGGACCACCTACCTAGTTGACGTGCAGCGAAATGAACAGAATCGACGACCTAGAGGAGGTGAACCTACCGTTTCGAGCTCCAGGTGTTGTTTGCCTGCCCCTTTCTGACTTTGAACCGCTTTGAGGTGGGGCGGGCTCAGCCTCACCCCCTGCAGGACCCGGTCGCTCCAAAGGGCCAGAGGTGGCCAGAGGTCTCTAGTGACAATAGGACCCTCACCTCAGCCACCCGTCACTGGGATAGTCTATAGGCTCTATAGGGTTCTTCAAGCAACTCATCACTTTCTCGGGCCCTGCCAGGCGCCCGACCGAGATCTGAGCCATCCGACAGTTAGACAAGTACTTCAAAAGATCTGAGCCATCGAAGTCAACCAAGAATCCAGGACAGCAGTCCTTCTCCAATGGGAAGGGTTGGGTTCGGGGACCCCTACGCAGTTGTCAGGTGCGAATTTTACCCAGTGGTTGTGGCCAGCCCTGCTCAGCTCCCCACCATTCCCATGGGCTAGCATTCTGAAAACCAATGCCTGCTGGCACCACCAAACCCTACCATTTGGATTTGCCATCCAATATTGATGATGGCCTAATAACATCTAATAACGCTAATGGCTTGTGGCTTCTTCAAGCCATGCCAGGAATATATGCACGAGCCCTCATGAATATGTGTTCTTTCATATCGTTTCATGAATCAGAACATGCCCTGAATCGATACACCCTGGAAGACTAACATGGACCCTGAAAACCACTGGTTGGTAGAGAAAACACTCTTCCAGCGGGCCAAGCAGTCAGGGTCTATGTGAGTTGACCTCCGGTTCGTGTACGTCTGCTCCGGTTCTTCTAGCTTCTCCTCCCCCCACCGGCCGCCGTCACCGGTCACCGGTCACCGGTGCTGCGGGTGACGCAGCTCTGCGGCTCGGCGGCTCTGTGGACAGGTCAGGTGCTTGTCAATGTACCTTCCTCGCCTCAACGACTTCCCATCCTCGGTGTGTGGATGTTCCAGCTGAGCTGTGCTCCCTTCGTTCCCCGTCCCCCCGTAAACCCGGTTTGCCGGGCGACGCACGGGTAGCCAACGGAAGAACGGATGACAAAGTGGGTTCGATCAAAAACCATGTGTCCAAACAAAAAGTTAGGAGAGTTCAGGATACGGGTGGTTCGTAAGGTCAATGAAGGAGAAAAAAAGGAAACATCCAACTGACCTTGGGATTTGTACGTATGGTTTGGCCGCACCATACCGAACGCACGGGGAAAGAAGCTTGACTGAAGGCATGGGCTGATGAAGGGCGATAGGGTTTGACAGATTAACCATGACCTGGATTGCTGTCCAGGAATCCGATCTTTAAAGGATATTCCCCACGTTAGGAGATTTATACATTATATATACCCAGTTCGGGAATATAATAAACAATCATGTGATCGCACCTCCAACTGGAATGAACACCTAAACCTATTGTTCAATAAAGTAACAGTGCTATTCTCACGTTTATCCCTGGCACTTCCAATGGGTGCCCTGTCTGGAGACCTAAATAGGCGGTATATTTTTATAACTTTGTCGATGGGTGACCCGTTTTTCAAGCAGCTGCGCATGATTCTTTCGATTCTATGAACCATCTCCATCCGCGCATGCTCGTTGAACACCATGCCCCCGGTCGCGAAACTGATCCAGTTCGAGACACAACACAGGATGTGAGACAAATCCGACAGGGTTCCCCATGGCTCGTCTTTTCCATCCTTTCTTGGGTGTTTGCCACGTTTCCCTGCGGAAAAGTAAGAAGACCAGTGGTTTCAGAGTGGATGGCACCATCATCCAAGTTCGGACATTGATATGGATGACACACCTCTGGATGACACACACCCGTCTCGCCATGCCCGGTCTCTACCCGGTCTCGACCGGTCTGCTGGCCTCTGCGCAGTTCACGAAGATCACAGCGGTCGTCCTGCGGAGGGCACTTCGAGGACCAGGCAGACAGGACTGCTCTCCCGAAGAGCATATACCAGGGGTACTACCAGGGGTCACAAAATGCTGAGTGCCATCCAGTGAGTGGGTAATGGGTACCCTCCATGGATAGCACCCCTTTGAAACTCCTGGTTGTATAAAAAACTGCTTGTATACACACCAGGACCTTCCAACAGGCGGTGTTTGGACACCCGTGGACCTCTAAGAAACGATTTATAGACACCTCCTCTTGGTGTCGGTCCTGGTACGTCTCCCGTTCCCTGCAGAAAGGATCTGGATTTCGCCGCCCATGAGCCGGATTTCGCTGCCCGGTCCCAGCTTGTCCAAACCCAGACACTCCATGTATGCCATATATGCCTACATTGACCCCCCAAACCACCCCAATGTAGGTAAATATGCCATACATGGAGTGTCTGGGAAATGGGTTCGTTTTTTCCCGAATTGCTCCGTCGGAGTCATGGACCTTAGTGGCGAATCGTCGCCACATCCACGGAGGTGCCAGGTGAGGCGAGCAAAGTGGCGAAACATGAACCAGCGTCACAAAGGGGTGTTTAGTCCCTGAGTGAGTGGGTAATGGGCACCCCTAACCTCCATTAAGCACCCCTTTGAAACTCCTGGAAAACTGGTTGGTGGGTTCAACTCACTTGAAGAATGTGAGTATGAGTCAGCGGGTTCAATTGTCCCAAGTCAAGGTTGGAAAATATCGAGAAACCACCACCCAACCAACAAAAACCGCCAAAGAACGCAGCCCCTGCCTGGAAAGGTTCGGCAGGATCACCTCTTCCTCATCCTGCTTTTCCTCTACAACTTCCTGGTCCATTGCCAGGTCTTCCTTGTCCTCTTGCTCATTCTCCGGGAGATCACCTCCTTCACTGACATTGCTGGAGATCACCTCCTCCACCCCGCTCGCCGGGCTCGAACGGGCACCGCGCGCCGAGCCGCCCACGTTCAGCCGCTCCTGGCGGTTCAGAGGCCCGAAGGTGCCGGGCGAACGCAGGGACCAGGACTTCCGGTGGTCAGACCGTTCGGACATCGTTCGATGTTGCTTTCGGTGGTCAGTGGAATTGGATCCCTCTCTCCACCCATCTGGCTATCATAAAAGAAACTGCGATCCTTCTGATCGATGGTGAAACAAACTGCAACAAACATGGAAGTTGCGGAAATGGAATACGACTATAGTGTGAAAACAAAAGGTGGACCTGGAAACCTGCCATAAGGCATGAAATTTATATGGCATGTTTCGCAAACCTTTCCCATTCCCAATGGCAAAGAAGCACCAGCACAGGTTTCACCCCAAACCGTTTTCCACGCAGCGATGATGCCATGAAATTTGGGCTTGGAGCTTTGAAGAAGTCGAACGAGAATTGCCGCATGCAGCATTTTCTTTGCTGGTATCTGGTTCCGACATGACAATGTGCTTTAACATCGAAACCATATACAGTAGAATCATGATGATAAATATACATACCTAGAGCTTCCGAAGAGCATTTATAAGTGCTCGTTTCAAAGAAGGCATAATATATATTTTTTTTTAGCACTCCACTATGGTGGAGCCCCGTGATAGAAACTACAGTATAGAAATTCATAAGCAAAAAACTAGACTCCTGTTCCGGTGGAAAGTAAAGTACTATAGCAGCAGCACCTTCCACAAAACCTTCAGGATTTGTTCCCATAAAGCCGCGCACGTTTTCAGAAACTTCCGCGTTTTCAGATCTGTGAACTTCAAAAACAACGAATTAAGAAGTGTCATTGCTGATAGCTAAGGCTGCTGGCCTGCACATCCCCAAGTCTTGACCCTAAACACGCGTGGACCTACAAACAAACATACCGTACCTGGGAGAAAACACGGCATGACATCTTTTTGACAAAACCAGCCCCAGCGATTGATTAGCACCTCCTGTTTGCCTGGTTTAGACTGGTATTTGACTAGCTGCCTCCACGTGGTTCTCAAAGGATGTTTCAATCAAACGACCCACCAAAACGACACAAAATGCAACGCCGAACGGCGGGAGTTTCTGCTGAAGGTTTTGATAAAATAACAAATGCCACCCAGCATAAATGTAAAACAAAAACTATATATTCACACATGCCTGAAGCACTGATTTTTTGCATGACTCATGCATGGGAAGTAGTTGTTGCATACCACACCGAGGATCGCAACCGATGCGAGACTCACTGACGTTTTGACCTCGTTGTTTTTGGCTCAGCTAGGGGAAGCTGGCTGTTTTCCGTCCGGGCTCAGCCTTACGGCTTACGGCCACGTCACAACACATCCCTAAAACATCCTAAAACACAGTACATCGATGCAAATCTGGGCAGAAGGCCTTGAGGTGGAGTGCCTGAGGGATGGCAGAGTTGGTGGAATTCTGAGGGCGCATGGCGTCTAATTTGGTGGTGGAATTTGGAGTTCTGATAGAACAGCTTCGTCAGTAGAAATCCACCTTCAATTCATAGGTTGTGTATTTTTCCTATGCGTCTTCAGCATGCAAAGGCTGCAAGTCATGTGGAGATCGTCCGTCGTGATGTCTTGAATGAGACTCTCGCCAACGCCCCTTTTTTTTCATTTCAAGCTTCCCCATTAAAAATCCCTAGAGTCTGGTCCCAAAAGAGGGGTTTGTATGTCACATGTGTTCAACATACGTCCAGAATTGAATCAAAAGAACGCGCAAAGCAAATCCAATTGCCTGGACTGTCCAGGCCCCCTGTATGAGGACTTCCCCATCCAACAACGATGAGCGCTCTCGCCGTTCCAACCATCTAACATTAGTGACTCCCTCAGTTTCGCTGGAATATGGAGGTTGACCATTTCCACCTGTTCGTTATGAAGTGTGGAAATAAGGCACAGGGATGTTTGAACGGAGAATTTAGGCTCTTAAACTCTGTGACCCCAAGTCACTGT